AGAGAGAAGGTGAGAGAGAAAGAGAAAGAAAGAAGGAGAGAGAGGGGGGGGGCAAAGAGAGAGAGAGAAGGGGAGAAGGGGAGGGAGAAAGAGAGAAAGAAGATGAGAGAGAGAAAAAAATGAGAGAGAGAGATAAAAGGTGAGAGAAAGAAAGAGCAGAAAAAAGTAGAGAGCGAAAATAAAGGATCCAGAAAGACCATGAGAGAGAATGGACAAAGATAAGATGCGACCGACCGAAAAAAGCGAAAGAAAAGATAAAGGAGGGGAGAGTCGGAGAAGTGAACAGCGATATGCACAGCACGCCAGGAGGTGAATGCCCTCTCCCTGCCTTGCCTCTCGCTAATTCCTAATGGCCATCTTGAGCGTCTGGACACGTGCTGTTTCGGTCTATGTGCATCCATAATGTTAGACTAGCTGTTATTGTGATACTTCTCTGGTCTTACCGTAGATAAAAATTCATTGTAGATGGAGATTGGTCATTTATTTTATGAATATTTGTTTGGTATGTGAACTATATTCATGTCGACAAATGTAGAAAAGTTCATGTCTATGAATGAATATTTTCACATTACAAGAGATGTATTTAACCGGTTTCGAATATATCTTCGTCAGAAATACAAACATTTGTATTTCTAACGAGGATATGTTCGGTTAAATAGTTCTTGTATTGTGGATATCGTATTTCTAAGAGTGTTGAAATACATTTCTTGTATAGTGACGATATTCATTCTCATTGAATGATATGTAATATTTGTACAGACAAATACAAACACTTTTTAACTATTGGCTATTGTTGAATGAAGTTGAGAGTTACATAGTCTTATCATATTGACGATAGAAATGAAACGGATATTTATTGAAAAGGAAAAATTGGCACAAGAATCATTAAATGTGTTTCTTAGTATAAATCGTTCTAGTTCCGTGTGCATTATTCGCATTTATTGTATCAGATACTATTGTGCATCGTGCAGCTGTATTGCAAAGCGCCTATAAATGTAATGTAGTATTTAAAAGGAAGAAACAGTTACAAGCATAGGAGTTGATTTTACTGTTTTCTTGTTTTATCGTATATCATAGCAACATCTTTATTAGGCCTATCTTTCCTTGCCTTACTGCTAAAGAGGCTGTTCTTCGAGAATTGAGTGTGAATAATAAAAACAGTGAACTAGAAAGGTTTATTTCTTTTAAAAGTAAAACAAAATTATATATATGTATTCTAAAAAGCGAATACAGGTTTATCACAACCGGATATGCTTACGCAATACACAGCCTGAATTTCGAAAAAGTAACATCTATTTATTTTAACAGTTGAATTTCAAAGCAGCTCTGAAAACAGGGCTTTTAAAATATTATAGAAAAATACGACATTCAAGATATTCAAGATATAGTGATGTAGAAAACGCATGAACAAGAAATAATATCTTCACAGCACAAGAGATGCATTTGACAGCTTTTCATTATATTTTAGACGGAAATACATATATTCCTGACGAATACACTAATGAAAACCGGCTTCATATTTATCTTGCGTTGTGAAGATTTTCAATATTACCCATAATTATATATTACAATGACAATGTCCATGAGACAGTAACCCAGTACATTTATTTCAAACTGCTACAATCATTTTATCTAAAGCATCATTTTGAAAGAGACCGACTTGGTAATTTTGTGAATGTAGACGATTAAGAAAAAAATTAAGTGTCACTCAGAACGCAAAGCGACGCTCTTCTGTTCCAGGTCACAGTGACGTGCGTTCCAACAGTCTCCCTTGGCTTAACTTGGCTCTTTTTTTTCATTAGCCGCGCCAGCTTTTGCCTAAATAATAGTGATATTTCTTGATAAATCCGTTTAGGAATAATAGGGGCACAATTTTCTAGGTAAACTCTTCCCAAATGTTGAAAAGAAGAGTGTCATGTATATTTATCGGACTTCTGTTTTAGTTACTTTTAACCATTTTCCAGTCTAATTGATAGTATAGTCATGTATACTGTAAATATATGAATCCCTTTTATACAATTAACAGTTTTCTATGGGATGCAAAATTACAAATACGTAAGGATATAGCAATCTACTGACCAATGATACGTCTCTCTGACAATCCGAAACTACAGCCATGTATTCGGACGCAGTGTTTTGGAGAAATGTATGTAACAAACCGATGTTTTCAAATGAATAAGGGGTTGAAAATAATAAATAACTGCAAAAAAATGCAGATTAAATTATCATTGACACCTTTGGACTGCTCTGTCCCATAAAACAAATTTGTATCCATAATGGAACAAGTGAAGCCTCTGGAAGGCATCTGGATGCAGTGTATTTTTCGAGCAAAGTACACGAAAACAATCAAACAGGCCTGAACATAAATCTCCAGAAAAACAACGAAGCACGAGACCTACCCATTAGACAGACAGCATCAGTGTCCGACGGTGCCAGCCAAGGGAGCCCACCCTGTCCGCCAGCGCCGAGCGAAGTCGCACGCACGCCCCCGAACGCGGCGTGTTGTGGAGCGTCGTCTGGCCCGATGGATCCCTCGTCCGCCTCGCTCGACGACCTCGTCCACTCCGTCGGCCTCTACGTCCCTCGGCCCCTGGTCCTCCACGGATACATATTCCCGTTCCTCGTCCTCTACGGGGTATGGGGCTGGGCGTGGGTGGGCGTGTATGGCTGGGAGGAGTACTTCGAGGCGGGGCTCCTGGCGCTGGCGGGGGTCGGCTGCCTGCAGATCCTGACGTGCCTCTTCTGCCACTGGTCCGTCCACGTGCGCTGCCTCTTCACCTGCAGGAGGGTGAGTTCCCGGCGGCTCTGGCCACGGCAGGGAGGGCGGCTCGCGCTGGGTCAGGGGCTCGGCGGGCTGCTGTAGTTTTCGCAGACGCGGAGGGAAGTCGTGACTTTTGACAGCTGGCGGAGCGGGTCGGGCGCTGCGGCTCCTGCTGTTTCCTGGGGCGACGGGCCTCGGGGGGTCCCTCGGCAACTTCCGGGGGTGATCTATGGTAGCTGCAAAAGGGTTGTTTTGGGAAAGACAAGACACAATATTTTTTGGGCAGTTCTGCTTATCAGGGAAGTGATTGTTCAAATTACACAGATTTATGCTCCTGTTGGAGATGTTGATGAGCAGTGACCTCTTCAGGAAATCTACTAGGTTCTTGGTGAGCAGAAGTAACAATTAAACACAAATAATTGAGCAATACAAAATCTATCACAAGGGTAATTATGTTTTCTATCTCCGATTTAAAGGCCGTTGCTTTCTCTCCCAAATGATTATCTCTGGGTATGGGTCCAGTTTCATAAAGCCATGTTTTACATAGAAAATAATATATGCAAACATTAGAGCAAATAAGTTTTTAAAAATTATCTTCTTTGTACTTCTGTCGCAATTCAAAAATAGCGAAGTTATTAGACACGCAAGTGTCACAGAGTCCGAAATGAAAAACGGCAATGGAAAATAGCAGCGTAACAGCATTAAACTGAAGGGAGATTCCATTCTAAAAAGAATTTTATCAAAAGTCGGAGGCTTGATGAAACTGGAAATTTACATGCCTTTGTAGAGCTTATCATTGAATATTGTATGCAGGAACTGCCAGATGTACATATACAAAAGGCATTAATAGGAGAGAATTTTATGTGATAATTGTAACAGTTCTTCATATTTTTGTAAGCTTCTTTGGTTAATCGTTATGGTGTGGATGCACTAAGCTAGAGCAAATTGAAGTGGAAAATCTTGTAGCGAACAAAAAGTTAGTCGTCTGTACAAGAAATAAGTAAGAGAGACAAACAGTAATGTCACAAAGAAAAAAGATCTCGGAAAGCTCTGTCTTGCCGTGCATACTGAGGTGAAGTCCAAGTTTCCCAGAGGGTGTTGGGGCAGAGCCTCCCGTCAACCCTTGCCTTGCCCAGTCACAGCAACTTAGATTGTTGAATAAATTTTGAGATGTGGAGTTGGGGGACGTGCGTGTGTCTGTACTAAGGGAATGGAAAAAGAATGAAGAATCATTGTCAGTCATATAAGTTATGATAAGTGTTCAGTCAGGTTTCAGGTTTCATATATTTGTATATTTCTCCATTATTCAATTTTTTTTTTCATGAATAGCTCTTTTTATGCTGTTACTGTGAATAGATCTAGCCTTATGAGAACCTGGGCTGGCCATTGGTAATATATTTTTCTCTATGTTGTGAAGCAATACTGGTTCACTGTTATTATAATTGTTAATTTATAAAAATGTGTGTATAAATGAAATCTGTTTTCTCAAGATATAGGTGAAGGTAAAGGTTTTGGCTTTGTGTGGCTTCAGCAACCTTCTACAAAGTGCACTAAGCAGTGCAGAAGTGCCACCCACTGCATCCTCATGCACAAGCACCGCCTTCCAAAGCTGGAAGCACAAAGAGCATCACATTTATAGTGAACCAATCCATTGGCCAATTCATTGGTTTAGGGTTGATTATTTATTCTAATTAGTTTAATGATTTCATTGCTATTACTTTTGCTATATTTTCTGCATTTATTATATTTTTTAATGTTCTTTTAGGAAAATGATCCAAGAGTGGCAACAGTTGCAAAAGTTGTGCCAACTCCCAACAACGGTTCACCTGAACTCGTTAAGGTACACAAAACTTTAGTAAGTACTGATCTTGTTCCCTTTTGTTCTCAGTTTGTTGCAGGAAAATCTAAAGTTTAAAGTTCTTGTCTAATAATTATTATTTGATGTATAAAAAAAATACTATAATCGAATCTCTTTATTGTAAGGTGTAGAATTATTTGTCTCTTGTATATTTATCTTTTTTACATACTCGTGATTTGGAATTTTATTATGTTGTTCAATGAACTTTTTCTTTATGTAAACAGATAAGCAAAGAAGCAACAGAGAAGAGTATATGGTTCATCTTTCAAAAAACGAAGTACATCTGGGATAGTGAAGAGAGGAAACAGTTTGTCGGTCTCAAGTTTCCCATCGATCATCAGTTACGAACGTACACAGAATGGCGTGGATACCAGGAGGACACAGACCTGGCTGCGGCAGAAGGGAGATATGGCAAAAACGAGTAAGAATGGATTTGAGTTGATTTGAGTGGAGTCAAAAAGTCATTTCTCTTCTTATGTTAAAAGCCTCACATGCTTCTGTCTACTACTGTATACTCTACATTATTGCTTAGAAATGCTGTAAGTAACTTAACCCAGAAGTAGACATAAATACTGATAGGAAAGTAATGATACTCCATAACAAACCCTTTTCCTTTAAGTGGATCTTTTCTTAACCCCTTGGTGCCGGGTGACGCCGATTGGCGTGTAAACAAAGAGCTCGAAAGCTGGCGTGCAGCCAAACGAGCCGGCGGCGAGCCAGTGATTCGGGCTGATGTCCCCTACTCACGCGCTCAAAGTCGGCGCGCCACCTTTGTTTGTTTAAGCGTAGAGTTTTTTCTTTCTTTCTTTCTTTCTTTCTTTCTTTCTTTTGTACACCCGGCGCCATTGGGTTAATGTACTGAAATGTAAAAAAGTTGTCCCAGTATTCATTGGTGTACACGAGTTAAATAGGTCATATAGAGATTATCTATGCTTATATTTTGAAAAGTTCAAATATTTTAATATTTATAATTAGAAGTTTGGCATATGAATACAGATATATTAGTAATAGATAAAGTGAATTAATTTGAGAAAGGAAATTAGAAATCAAAAGTATTATTCTATCATTAATATATTTGTTGTTTTTTTCAAGACTTCAGATGGATGTCCCAGAGTTTATGGACCTCTTCAGAGAAAGAGCAACAGCCCCATTCTTTGTATTTCAGGTGGGTCATTTGAACAGTAATGTGATAAAGAAAAACATGACTTTCATCCCAGGGTTGTGGAGTCAGTAGACGCTTCATTTCTGTTTGGTTTATTTTGACCAGGAATTCAAACTGCATCAAATAGTAAACTTGGAAACTGCTTAAAACATACTCAGAAGTAATTGATTAAGATACATATTTAATTACTCTTGTGATTGCTTATTTATTTTTCAGGTGTTCTGTGTTGGGCTTTGGTGCCTGGATGAGTACTGGTATTACTCTCTCTTCACTCTCTTTATGCTGGTTATCTTTGAGTGCACTCTGGTTCAGCAACAGTTGAGAAACATGTCTGAAATTAGGAAGATGGGAGCCAAACCATACATGATACAGGTATGTATTTGTGTAGGGGGGGGGGGCACACATGTGTGCCTGCTTTGAAATAGTCACATACATTTAAGCAGTTTAAAAGGTACCTTCTAAATGCATAGATAGATTTATATGTAAGGCAATATTAGTTTATGTGATGCACCTTATCTCCACTCTATGTCATATGATTTATTATTTGCATAGTCTCTTCCTGTATAATTATTTCTTATTTATTATATGTTTTTTGTCTTTCATGTATATGCAAACTGTCCTCACAGGTATACCGTAACAAGAGGTGGAGATCAATAATGACAGACCAGCTTGTACCGGGAGATGTCGTGAGCGTTGGGCGCAGCCAGAATGACAACCTTGTTCCTTGTGACCTGCTGCTGCTTCGCGGACCTTGTGTTGTGGACGAGAGTATGCTGACTGGTAAGTACATTTATTTGTGTGTGTGATTTGTCAGATTTTTTTTCTTTACTCATTTATTTATGTTTGCATCACTTTCTATTCTGAAATATGTCTATATATATATATATATATATATATATATATATATATATATATATTTATATTTATATATATTTAAATTCTTAATTGCTGTTAGTATTTTGATAACACTATAGAAATTATAATTCAGCGATAATGATAACAATAATGGTTGTTAATAGCATTAGAAAAAAACTTTTTTCTCGGATTCAAAGAATGAGGAAGTCAGGTGTGGTCATGTAGGGCCTACTTATTGTGTAAACAAAAATGGCAACAACAGCTCAATTCTTCACTCATCCTTTACTGTCTTTTGCACATCAGGTGAGTCTGTGCCTCAAATGAAAGAAAGCCTCGAGGCAGTCGAATTGGACCGCGAGTTGGACCTTGCCACAGATGCCAAGTTGCATGTGCTGTTTGGGGGCACGAAAGTCGTTCAGCATACCCCTCCCAGCAAAACTGTGACTGGCTTGAGAGGTAAGTAAGGTTTTAGTTGGTCAAGTCTTATAGAAAGAATGAATAACATATTCTTTACCTAGTTTTTTATTATAGATTTAAATACGCATTTGTCTGTAAACTTGCTAGTTCCCTGAATTTGAAAGCTAAAGTGAAAGAATAATATGTTAATGTTTAAAAACTATTAAAAACTACAGAAATGTACTGTATTGGTATTTTCTTGTTTGCAGAATTGTTTAATGTTAGGTGATTTGGTTTTTATGATCTGCAATTATTGTAAACAATGAATTTTTTGGGAGAATAATTTTTTTAAAAGTTTTTGAATGTGTGATTATAAATATTAACTGCTGCTGTCAAAGGATCTTTCTTGAGCTTAATTAAAAAAGGCAGACTATTGTAATAGATTCCTATGTGGTTAAAGATTTGTAGCACTCTAGCCAGGTAGTTTTTAAAGTTTAGGAAACATCATTACTTTATTATTTGAATTTTCTTTTTAACAAAAATTATTCAGAGGTTTAGAATTCATAAGGAACTAGTTTAGAATATAAGAGATTCCCCTCCTTCTGCAGCCCCAGACAATGGTTGTGTGTGCTACGTGTTGCGCACCAACTTCAATACTGCCCAGGGGAAACTGCTGCGGACGATCCTCTATGGTGTTAGCCGCGTCACCGCAAATAACCTGGAGACGTTTGCATTCATTCTTTTCCTGTTGATATTTGCCATTGCTGCTGCTTCGTATGTGTGGATTAAAGGTGCGTTTTGTAGCTTTGATGTTGAAAAATGTAAATGTTTTTATATATCTTTTCCTCTTCTTTCTCCACTTTCTTAATTTATCCTCCTCCTCCCCTTCTTTATTTCCCTTAGCATTATTTTGCCTCCACCCTCATTTTTCTCTCTTCCTTTTAATCTTCCTCTTTCTCTTCATCTTTGTCATCCTTATCTTCTTTCTCTTCCTCCTTCACCACCTACATTCCCTACTGCTCTCCAATGTATCTCTACCTTATGTATTCCTTCTTATTTTTTCTTTCATTCTCTGCTGTCTCCCTCCTGGGAACTTCTCTTAGTTGCATGTTAGTTGCTTTTCCTTAATGTAAGTGGAAACAATTTTATGTTTTATTTAATTTATACTCTACATTTATACACATCATATACACTTATACACATCATATACACTTATACACATCATATACACTTATACACATCATATACACATATACACACTCATATACACATATACACACTCATATACACATATACACACTCATATACACATTTACATACTCATATACACATTTACACACACACATACACATATACACACACATATACACATTTACACACACATACACATATACACACTCATATACACATTTACATACTCATATACACATTTACACACACATACACATATACACACTCATATACACATTTACATACTCATATACACATTTACATACTCATATACACATTTACATACTCATATACACATATACACACTCATATACACATTTACATACTCATATACACATATACACACTCATATACACATTTACATACTCATATACACATTTACATACTCATATACACATTTACATACTCATATACACATATACACACTCATATACACATATACACACTCATATACACATTTACATACTCATATACACATTTACATACTCATATACACATTTACATACTCATATACACATTTACATACTCATATACACATTTACATACTCATATACACATTTACATACTCATATACACATTTACATACTCATATACACATATACACACTCATATACACATTTACATACTCATATACACATTTACATACTCATATACACATTTACATACTCATATACACATATACACACTCATATACACATTTACATACTCATATACACATTTACATACTCATATACACATATACACACTCATATACACATTTACATACTCATATACACATTTACATACTCATATACACATTTACATACTCATATACACATTTACATACTCATATACACATTTACATACTCATATACACATTTACACACACATACACATTTACACACACATACACATTTACACACACATACACATATACACACTCATATACACATTTACATACTCATATACACATTTACATACTCATATACACATTTACATACTCATATACACATTTACATACTCATATACACATTTACATACTCATATACACATTTACATACTCATATACACATATACACACTCATATACACATATACACACTCATATACACATTTACATACTCATATACACATTTACATACTCATATACACATTTACATACTCATATACACATTTACATACTCATATACACATTTACATACTCATATACACATTTACATACTCATATACACATTTACATACTCATATACACATTTACACACACATACACATTTACACACACATACACATTTACACACACATACACATATACACACTCATATACACATTTACATACTCATATACACATATACACACTCATATACACATATACACACTCATATACACATTTACACACACATACACATATACACACTCATATACACATATACACACTCATATACACATTTACACACACATACACATTTACACACACATACACATATACACACTCATATACACATTTACATACTCATATACACATATACACACTCATATACACATTTACATACTCATATACACATTTACATACTCATATACACATTTACACACACATACACATTTACACACACATACACATATACACACTCATATACACATTTACATACTCATATACACATTTACATACTCATATACACATTTACATACTCATATACACATTTACACACACATACACATATACACACTCATATACACATTTATACACTCAGACAAATATACACACTCATATACATATATACACATCATATACACTTATACACATCATATACACATATACACACTCATATACACATATACACACTCATATACACATTTACACACACATACACATTTACACACACATACACATTTACACACACATACACATTTACACACACATGCACATACACATACACATATACACATATACACACTCATATACACATTTACACACACATACACATATACACACTCATATACACATATACACACTCATATACACATATACACACTCATATACACATTTACACACACATACACATTTACACACACATACACATATACACACTCATATACACATATATACACTCATATACACATTTACACACACATACACATTTACACACACATACACATTTACACACACATACACATTTACACACACATACACATTTACACACACATACACATTTACACGCACATACACATATACACACACATATACACATATACACACTCATATACACATATACACACTCATATACACATATACACACTCATATACACATTTACATACTCATATACACATTTACACACACACATACACATATACACACTCATATACACATTTACACACACATACACATATACACACTCATATACACATTTACACACACATACACATATACACACTCATATACACATATACACACTCATATACACATATACACACTCATATACACATTTACACACACATACACATTTACACACACATACACATATACACACTCATATACACATATACACACTCATATACACATTTACATACTCATATACACATTTACACACACACATACACATATACACACACATTTACATACTCATATACACATATACACACACACACATACACATATAAACATGCATACACATATACATAAGCATGTACACAATCTCTCCCTTCCCCCTCTCCTTCTCTCTTCTTCCTTTATCTCACTCCTTTCTTTCCATTTATATGAAATTTACTTACCAAAACGCAATATGCTATAAACATTTTTTTGATTAGAAATTCTTTTTTCAGCGGCACAAGCAAAGTGGTGCCAGTTGGGGAAGCTCCTCTTGAGACCATACAGGTAAGGAATCTCGTCCTCTGCTTGCTCTAGGTGTGTTTCTTCCAGCAGTCTATTTTTTATTACATGAAAAGTATTTTGCATTAGTGTTGTTTTTATTAGAGTTTTGCATGTAAGAGTATTCAGTAATATTTTCATGAGCAACATTATTCAAAAGTACATTATTTTAAGTTTCATGAGTTTATGGTAATGGATGTACATACAATTGGTGAATGAAAATGTTGATCTTGTTATTCAATGATTGTTAGAAAGGAAAAGATGAGAAGTAGTTAACTGTTGGATCCAGATGCCTTGCAGCTTACATTTGGACAAAAATGTGCACATTTTCAGAAATAGACAGTTGCCTATGTTATATCAAAGCATAGGCAATTGACTGTTCTTATAATTCAAAAAAAAAAAAAGTAATAATAATGGGATTAAAAGAAATAATAATAATCCATCTACAGTGCTAAACTGTTTCCTTGTACTGCAAATATATGATGAAATAATGAGGGTATGTCCTGGTTGCCTGCCCTTTAACAACAATTTCCCATGATATCTTTTCATTATCCTGCCCTTCAGTCAAAGACCAGGCATTCGCACTCTTCTGCCCTTCAGTTAAATTTCTCTAAGATGGGAAGTTCCCATTGCCCTGCCCCTCGGCTAAAGTTTTCCTTGACAAGTCACTCCTGTCACCCACCACTGGCCCATGACATGGTTCCATCACCCAGATCCAACGGGTTACAGAGTTAGGGAAGGAGCATATATGGTTTGGCTTTTTTCACAGGTGGTGGCATCATGTCATTCTCTAGTCCAGTTGGAAGATGGTCTTGTTGGAGATCCTCAAGAAAAAGCCACATTGGCAGCCATTGATTGGACAGTGACTAAAGGTTAGATTTATGACATTCTGAAATAAACTTGATATATATATTGAGTGAGTGAGTGAGTGAGAGCATGTGGAACCTTTAACCCAATGGTGCCGGGTGTACAAAACAAAAAAAAAAAACTCTACGCTCTAGCAAACAAAAGCGGCACGCCGACTTTGAGCGTGTGAGTACGGGACATCAGCCCGAATCACTGGCTCGCCGCACTTTGGCGTGCCGCCACGGCGTACAGCCGCACGCCAGCTTTCAAGCGGTTTGTTTTCACGCCGATCGGCGTCACCCGGCGTTAAGGGGTTAAACAGTACCCTGAGGAGCATTTCTAGTGGTGTAAAAAATATTAGTCTCAGAGGCATTTCGGAACTATTCAACTCTGCTTAATTGTAAGCTGATAGGTTTGAACCACATTCAAATAATAGTGGTGTCCATATTTGTTTTTCTTTTCATGAATAAGAAAATAAATATTCACAAATTCTCTATTAAAATACATTGAATTACCTGTATTTATTAAATCCTTATTTTTCCCAAAGGTGAAGCTGTTGTGCCACGGAAAGGAAAGGCTCCAGGGATGAAGATATTCCATCGCTTCCACTTTTCATCCCAGTTGAAGCGAATGTCGGTCATCACTGGATTCACCCAGCCTGGCTCTGCTGATGTCATGTATTTGGCAACTGTGAAAGGTGCACCAGAAACTCTAAGACCCATGGTAGGTGTTCTCTGTAGATTGTCACTTTTTTTTTTTTGGAGTATCAGAAGTCTGTCTTTTATACGGTGTGGGAGCAGAACAGGTTGAAATTTGAAAGTAGGAAATATTATAAAGGTAACCTCTGATTACTGAGCTGTAGAGATCATTTTAAAGTGAACCTACCTTCCTTACCTTCTTGATTTTTTTATGAAGTATAGGTTTCAGATTTTATTTAACTTTTTTTAAAGGAAAGCTTTATGAACCTTTGTTTTTAATTTTGGGTTTAGTTTTGTTTCTCTTTACTCCTTATTCTGTTTCTTTCATTGCAGTGTTGTCTGCAGACAACTTCACTCACTCATTCACACACTCAACACACACATTGACATCAACACTAATGTAATCTATTTGTTCCAGTTCTCCTCACTACCACCAAACTATGACAATGTATACTTGGAGCTGTCTCGCCGCGGAGCCCGAGTTTTAGCTCTTGGAAGAAAAGAGCTTGGCAGACTTTCACACGCTGAGGTGAATATGCTGCATTTACATAAGATTTCATTTTAGTTGAGGATATCAGGTTTATCAGTGACACGGAAAATGTGGAGACAAGCAGCAGTTATTTTGAAGATATGCTTTGTCACTTTCTGCTAGGCCTGTCTGAAATTCAGTTTGAGAGTTGTTGGAGTTGGATTTGATGATAGCCAGTTATGAGGCATTAGATTTTCTCTTGCTTCAAAGTTTAATTTCTGAAGTTGTCTTTGCAGTTGCCTGATTTTTTTAATAATTTTTACAGTAACCTTTAAGAGTTCCAAATTTTCAGGCTTATGATATTTGTTCTATGCACTTGTGATATTCTTCCAATAAATCGTATAATAACCTTAGCACTTCCCATCAACAGGTACGAGAAACGACACGAGAAGCCTTGGAATGCAAGCTGACCTTTGCTGGATTTATCATCATCTCCTGTCCACTGAAGAGGGACTCAAAGGAGGTCATTAAAGAAGTGCTTCAGAGTTCACACGGGGTAAGTGTTTTAGTACTGTGTATAAAGATTCTGTTGATATTTAGTGTTGTATATGGAAATATGTAACTGCTGTGGATATTTCTGTCACAAATGATGCAGTACATACAATCAATCAGCAAGGAGATAATTTGTTCTTGGAGTCTGTTTATACAGAATTTTTTCATAGCAGTAAAAAAACTAAATTGATAGCAATAGTAACTCCTGATCTGGTTTGTATTTTTCATCTTATTATGTTCATTTGAAAATGAAATGTTTTGTGTTATTGCTAGCAATGGAAAGGTATCTACATTTTTCTTTCTTTCACTCACAGGTGGTTATGATTACTGGTGACAATTCATTGACTGCTTGCCATGTTGCAAAAGAATTGAAATTTACACACAAGAAGGCAACATTAGTTCTTCAGGTAAGTATTTAGATTATCAGAGAGTTCCTAGGCTTATTAGACCTTGCCTAACTATCTCATTCCTTAACTTTTGGGAGAGAACTTGTACATTTTATCATTATTATTTTTTATTTTTATTATTATTATTATTATTATCATCATCATTATCATTACTGTCATTATTTTTAGTATTATGATGATAGGGATGGGGATGGCAATAGTGATGTGGTGTTAGTAATGATGTGCATAATATTATAGCAGTCACTTTCATATCCTGTTTGATAACAGAATATTTATTTTCTTCTCGACAGTGTGCCACATTATCAAGCAAGGCAGATGTACCCTTGTGACAACTCTACAGATGTTCAAAATTTTAGCCCTGAATGCCCTCATTTTGGCATATTCTCAGTCTGTTTTGTACCTGGATGGCATCAAGTTCTCTGACTACCAGGCAACACTACAAGGCCTCCTCCTTGCAGCCTGCTTCTTATTTATTTCGCGCTCAAAGGTAACTGCCATAGAAATGCATAATTGCAATTTTGTTAATGGTCAAATACTCTGTCCCTTTCCTTCTTTTTTTGCAAATATCTAAAGCACTTTTATTATTATCCTTCTCAGAAGAACAGAAACCTTAGTCTACATATTAATGACATTTTTTTATGAAACTGAAATATACTCCTTTCCTTTTTGTCCATTACTCATAGTATTATTGTTTTAGAATTGAAGGAGAGAATGAAAGTTGACATGTTTTGTTGTACGTAAAGTCAAGTCCAAATCAGAAATTTTAAATAATCATTTCACTGATTACAGGATGTTTTATAAATATATAAAAATCATATGCATTTATTATATTTTATGAAATATACTGAAGTTGTTCAAAGAAACCATTAAAATATACGTTACATTCAGTGTGTGTGTGTGTATATATACATATAGGAAATTTTAATTCTTTAATTGTGACATTTTACTGAAACTTACAGCAGAATTTACCTTGCCCTACCACTGCAACCCCAGAGCAAACTTAATATAACCTAATTCAGTCATACCTTTTGTCCTTGATTTAATCTGATTATTTACTAATAATTCTTATTATAACTTATTCTGAATATAAACCAAATGAGTTTTGATTTCACTAATATGATCTATGTTACCTAAATAGCATAGACAGCCATTGCCATACTTTTTTTTTCTCTTTCAAATTCCATTTTGTATTTTATACTATTTTCACATGCCTTGGTCGTTTAAAGTTTTAGATTTAGAGTATGCATTCTTGGTCCACACTGACCAAAGCAAAGCATAGCCTTCTACCAACTTTACTGAATGTAAACCTTAATACTGATATTACAAGTCAGGACCATCCACAACTAAAAAGTACTCTAAACATGATATAGACTTTTCAAGGAAGAATAACTTTATTAACAACTGTGTGTGTTAACTAGCATATACAAAACTTCCTGAAATTAAAGTGACTAAAAGACCTTGCACTATATTTCAGCCGCTAAAAGTCCTCAGTAAAGAGAGGCCGCTACCAAACATTTTTAACGTGTACACAATCATGACGGTGCTGCTACAGTTCGCAGTCCACTTCACGTGTCTCTGGTTCTTGGTTAACCAGGCCAATGAATGGTCTCCACCAAAGTGAGTCTGACTATTGAATTTATTTGAATGTTGAGAAGAAATATATATATACATAAAAAAATGAGAAATACAACATGGGTTATTTACATTTACATTTTTAAAGCTGTAAGAATTTGTTGGTACTCATATGGTACGTGCATTTTATTAATGTGCTGATTGTTTTTTCTTTCTTTTTTTCAGGGACAAGTTTGTTGACTTAGAAAAGGAATTTGAACCCAGTCTTTTGAATAGCACAGTGTATGTCATCTCCATGACACTACAAATATCAACATTTGCCATCAACTACAGGGTAAGAAATGTTGGGCATAGTTGTTTACTAGCTTGTTTGTGTAGTTGCTTGTGCAAGTGGTTGTGCAAAATGAAGTTGAAAGACCTAGGACTTGTTATATGCTGTTAGCAGTGTGTGCCCACCACTCTGCAGAGATTTCATCCTCGGTTTCTTCCATTGAGCCTCCAACCTTAGTAGGCAGGCTGTGCTAAGCCCACTTTACCACTTTTAGGCTAGTTTGATAGTGTATGTAAAATTATCTTTAAATATTAGACACATAAGAATTGTTTGTTATTTCCAGTTTTTCAAGTATGACACTTTTTTTTTTTTTTTAATTTTCTTTGTGCTTGTCTGTGATAATGAAGTTGATTATTATTGTTATTATTAGTATTAGTATTATCATCATCATTATCATTACTGTTATTATTTTTAGTATTATGATGATAGGGATGGGGATGGCAATAGTGATGTGGTGTTAGTAATGATGTGCATAATATTATAGCAGTCACTTTCATATGCTGTTTGATAACAGAATATTTATTTTCTTCTCGACAGTGTGCCACATTATCAAGCAAGGCAGATGTACCCTTGTGACAACTCTACAGATGTTCAAAATTTTAGCCCTGAATGCCCTCATTTTGGCATATTCTCAGTCTGTTTTGTACCTGGATGGCATCAAGTTCTCTGACTACCAGGCAACACTACAAGGCCTCCTCCTTGCAGCCTGCTTCTTATTTATTTCGCGCTCAAAGGTAACTGCCATAGAAATGCATAATTGCAATTTTGTTAATGGTCAAATACTCTGTCCCTTTCCTTCTTTTTTTGCAAATATCTAAAGCACTTTTATTATTATCCTTCTCAGAAGAACAGAAACCTTAGTCTACATATTAATGACATTTTTTTATGAAACTGAAATATACTCCTTTCCTTTTTGTCCATTACTCATAGTATTATTGTTTTAGAATTGAAGGAGAGAATGAAAGTTGACATGTTTTGTTGTACGTAAAGTCAAGTCCAAATCAGAAATTTTAAATAATCATTTCACTGATTACAGGATGTTTTATAAATATATAAAAATCATATGCATTTATTATATTTTATGAAATATACTGAAGTTGTTCAAAGAAACCATTAAAATATACGTTACATTCAGTGTGTGTGTGTGTGTGTGTGTGTGTATATATACATATAGGAAATTTTAATTCTTTAATTGTGACATTTTACTGAAACTTACAGCAGAATTTACCTTGCCCTACCACTGCAACCCCAGAGCAAACTTAATATAACCTAATTCAGTCATACCTTTTGTCCTTGATTTAATCTGATTATTTACTAATAATTCTTATTATAACTTATTCTGAATATAAACCAAATGAGTTTTGATTTCACTAATATGATCTATGTTACCTAAATAGCATAGACAGCCATTGCCATACTTTTTTTTTCTCTTTCAAATTCCATTTTGTATTTTATACTATTTTCACATGCCTTGGTCGTTTAAAGTTTTAGATTTAGAGTATGCATTCTTGGTCCACACTGACCAAAGCAAAGCATAGCCTTCTACCAACTTTACTGAATGTAAACCTTAATACTGATATTACAAGTCAGGACCATCCACAACTAAAAAGTACTCTAAACATGATGTAGACTTTTCAAGGAAGAATAACTTTATTAACAACTGTGTGTGTTAACTAGCATATACAAAACTTCCTGAAATTAAAGTGACTAAAAGACCTTGCACTATATTTCAGCCGCTAAAAGTCCTCAGTAAAGAGAGGCCGCTACCAAACATTTTTAACGTGTACACAATCATGACGGTGCTGCTACAGTTCGCAGTCCACTTCACGTGTCTCTGGTTCTTGGTTAACCAGGCCAATGAATGGTCTCCACCAAAGTGAGTCTGACTATTGAATTTATTTGAATGTTGAGAAGAAATATATATATACATAAAAAAATGAGAAATACAACATGGGTTATTTACATTTACATTTTTAAAGCTGTAAGAATTTGTTGGTACTCATATGGTACGTGCATTTTATTAATGTGCTGATTGTTTTTTCTTTCTTTTTTTCAGGGACAAGTTTGTTGACTTAGAAAAGGAATTTGAACCCAGTCTTTTGAATAGCACAGTGTATGTCATCTCCATGACACTACAAATATCAACATTTGCCATCAACTACAGGGTAAGAAATGTTTGGCATAGTTGTTTACTAGCTTGTTTGTGTAGTTGCTTGTGCAAGTGGTTGTGCAAAATGAAGTTGAAAGACCTAGGACTTGTTATATGCTGTTAGCAGTGTGTGCCCACCACTCTGCAGAGATTTCATCCTCGGTTTCTTCCATTGAGCCTCCAACCTTAGTAGGCAGGCTGTGCTAAGCCCACTTTACCACTTTTAGGCTAGTTTGATAGTGTATGTAAAATTATCTTTAAATATTAGACACATAAGAATTGTTTGTTATTTCCAGTTTTTCAAGTATGACACTTTTTTTTTATTTTGATCTTACAGAACATCACTTAGGCTATTGTTTCAAGTCATTTTCATTCAACAAATTTGGTGATGATGTATGTCTCTGTTTCCTTTTGTACTAAGCTCTTAAATTATAAATTATTTGTCATGTTTTTTGTTTTGTTTTTTCTACCTTTCAGGGCCATCCATTTATGGAATCTCTGCTAGAAAACAAGGCTCTGCTGTACAGCCTGTTGGGCTCTGGTGGCGTGGTTTTGGCTCTGGCCGTGGGCATCGTTCCAGAATTTGCTCAACAATTTGAGATTGTTGATTTCCCTCCTGAGGTAAGGACTGCAAGTACTTGTATTATATATGAAAGATTGAGATAAAACATTTAATATGCATTTTCTGGCAGTTAGTCTGAGAAAACCTTTTGGATGTGCATACCCTCATATATGCAATACCTGGAATTTCTTAGATGCCTTGTAATGTACAGAAAAAATTATTCAAATAAAAACCAGAAATGAGCGTTTTAATCTCACTTTCTGGTATGATATAATTTTCCACTTCAACCATTAGCCCAACTTATTATGTCACACCAGACTACATTACAAATCCTTAACCACACCTCTTTTCCTCCAACAGTACCGCATTATTCTGGTGAAGGTGCTGGTGGCCGATTTCACCCTGTCACTTATTGCGGATAGGGTGTGCCTCTTCCTGTTTGGAGAAGGAAGATTACCGTCAGAGTTAAGGAAGATAGCATAGAAGAAATAGTCATCTTTAGGATGTATTTAAAGGAGAATTTGATAATGAAATATATATATATATATACATATTCAGATTATACAGTTGGTTGGTTCTTGGAATCATGATCCATTTGTAATTCCTTGGATATTTTTGAAATTCAATGAATTTTCATCTGTTAGGAATTCAATGTTAATGCATTTAGATGGCTGATGTCACTTTATGGTTTATGTTATTCTCTGAAGACACTTTTGTAAGGAAATGTAATTTAGTCTGCGGTAGGTGGTTGTGGTTGCAAAATTTGTATTGTACTGTATGTTTTAACACTTAATTATCTTCTATAAAAGTACAGTGATTTTTGTGCAGTGACAATGTTAATAGTTCTGAATATTCAGATTTTTCTTGGCCTTTCATATTAGCTGCATTGCTAAAAATCAGTTCAATATGACCCTGCTCATAGATATGTATTTGTGCCCTGTACTGTGTCTATCAATTCAATTGCAGTTTTATTATGATTTATTTTTAATTGGTAATTGCTCAATCTTGTCATACTTTTTATATGGAAGAATGTCATTGACGGCAAAGGGAGTAAAGACTTAGACAAAACAAAGAGATCTTCAGACATCACTGGGTTTAATTAACCTTAGATGAGTCCACCAGTATACCATTTTCCTAGCCTTCATACGCAGGTAGATTCTCTTTAGGCGATTTCTTTCTGACTCGGAAAAGGGATTTACACTTGATGTGATACTTTTGTATAGTATGTCAACCACAATATCTGAATATTAATTTGAACTATAATGTTGTAATCAATAAATCAGAGAAAATATGTATCCATTTTCCCATTA